TTTTCATTTATAAGTAACCTTAAGCTCTAGTCAGCGAAGTGTTCCGCAAGTAGTGCGTACGAAAGCTTGCTGAAATGAGCAAATCAACTGTTTTAAGGATAGCATATCAGTTTGGCGTATGCCAACATCATTATCGCAAAGTCGCCTGGGAGGTAGAAGCTCTCCATCCAATGCATGTACTGTTATCGCTGTACGAATGGCTGAAGTCATCCATAGAACAGACACAAAAATGCCGAGGCCAATCTACATATCAGAGGTAATATTGTCATTATCGGTGATATACTATATTATCAATATTCTAAAGTAATTCTAACTTTGTTCTATTTCGGCTTCGCCCTACTTTTAATTCAAATTATACAAGTTAGTGGTATTAGAGTGTTTGGAAAGTGTTGAGACATTTGATGCACCCCCAGTCAATAATATAAGCACTATTGATAGCACAAAGTACACTTTGAGATTAAAGAATACCTATTGCCACCAAAGTGATACCTCTATTTTGCGAACAATTTCTTTTGAGATTTGAACCAACATGAGAATTACGTGAAACAATGAAGATGTTGAATTATAAGATTAAGCGACACCGAGTTGCATAGTTTCTCGTAGAAAGTGATCCCTCGAGGACGTAGCATTAACGCTAGAGCGCAAGCCCTATTCCTCACAGAGAAAGTTTGAGAAAATTCCGATTTTTTACGTTGTACCAGAACACTTCCTCCTCCTTCCTCCTTCTCTTGCGCGAAAATGGCAATTACAATGACAATGGACTGCTATGCCATTCCTCCCGCAACACTTTCTGCGCCCTCCCCAGGCATCGTAGATATTTAAATACTTAGATGGCCTGTCTTCACTCGTCGTGCAAGCCCCTGCATTGTTTCCATTCATTTCTATCTTTATCTAGCGTCATCAACGATGATGGTAATGGAATGAGACAGCGACGATCGCGAGTTTCTCATCGTTCAGCTGCAAAATCCTGGTCCATCCGTCAGCGAACACGTCAGCCCATCTGGTGCTGGCCTTTCTTGAGGTTTTGCTTCACGAAATTCCGGAGTTCTTAATACGTGCCCATCTGTCGTCTGTCCTTCTCATTATATGACCAGCCGATCGATGCTTTACAGAGACCTATTTCACTGGAGTGCAAAGACGAGACATTGATCTCATATCTGAACTGCGAAATCCGAAGTTGCCTGTACTTTCGAAGTTCTTCTTGCAAAATTGTTCTGCAATGTTGGCTACCAGTCGCTCGAGATGTGATGCAGTCGGATCCAGCCTCATCTCCTCCTCTTTAGCAGATCCTTGTTGACTTTCGAAAATCTTCAATGTTCCTTGTTTAAGGCATTGGGGCACTTTCAGCACAGGCCTTCAGTCCTCTGAGAAGCAAGTCGTTATTTTTCGTTGGTTCTCCCCGATGGGCCACTCGCAAGTGGTCAGGAGCTCCTCCATCTGCTGGCGTCATACATGACTTTTCTTTCGCACTTTTGCTCGAAGGAGACGATGATCTGATACACTGCTGGAGGTACTACTGAGAGGTCCAGTAAGTAGTAATTCGGTTGGTGAGAAAGTGGTGATCTCCTCATGAGTCGTACCGTTGGGTATTCCCATGTCCTTTGTTCTTTCTTCACGGAGAAGCAGTTGCCATGAAAAAGTCATGCGGCGAATAAGAGCGCAACGAGACGGTTGCCATTTTCATTCCGAAATCCTAATCCAAATCTCGCAATCCTATACTCCTCTTCTTCTGACATCCCGATTTTCGCACTGAAGTCACCTCAGCTGCTGATGTTGGAGTAGCAGTCGTTTGATAGTGATAATTTTTTCGATGAAGAGCACGGAATCGAATGATAGCCAGGCGAGGTGGTAGCGTCTCATCGATAAGATAGACAACAGATGGGTGTACGACAAATCTAACGCCTCCAACGTTCCATGATGGAACTTTCTCACCACGAATGATGAGTATGCCACCACTCAACTGCCTCGCGTCCGTCTTTCTGGACCTTGCTTCCTACAAGACGATTACGTGTAATGATGCGTCCTGCAGCTTCGAGAAAGGCGTGAAGATCGGCGTTGGTGGAGACTGTCCCGGCGTTGTAGATGCAGAACATGAAACAACCATCATGACGAGTCACTGACAGGTCCTTTTGGTCCGAAATCCATGGCGTCCTGTGCAATCTGACACTTGATGACATCTAGAAAAGTAATCCAATGTGTGGGGCTTCTTTTCCTATTACATGCTGTACAGGTAATAGAATAAACCCCCAAACTTAACAGCCATGCCAAGGCCTGCCAAGCTTTTACCATAAGCAATCGCTGACCTATGTGCATCATGGAACCACCTAGCGACTTAATCAGCGGTAGGGCTTCTGGCATGGCCTACTCTCAGCTGGGAATCCGGGGAGGCGGAAACGGCGAACTCCTCTGTTTGATAAACCCTGCCGAGGGATAAACCTCCGCTGTACTTCGCAGTTCGACACCCAGAGCCACTCCCGCGCCGCACGTAGGTAACCCCAGGCATCTAGCCATGGTAAATGATCCAGATAAGATTTAAACTGTTAATAATTTCTTCTGACACTTTCCGGACAATATGATATAGAAGGTCTTGGTAAATGCGTGCAGATTTGATCCTTTCACAGGAAGCATATGAAGATTGCCGTGTTTTACCAAAAACACAACGTGCTGCGGCTGGTCAAGAAGGCTCGATAGAAAACAGGCACATCAGTGGAAAAACTGCTAATTTGGTTGTTTTACCTGACCAACATCATTGAATCGGTACAGTAAGATTATATATAGATATGTCCACCTAATGTTGTCTCTTGCTTGACGAATGCAATTGTTGATGGAAATATCATTCATGAAGAAGCAGTAAAAAGTAGGGGAAATGGCGAACAGAACTTCACAATTCCAGACGCGATCCACGCATGTAAGGATGCAGTCAAAGTCGGTATATTGTCCAATTATTCTTTTCCAAATTCCAAACCCGTTCTCAAAAGATGTTGTCGGATTTTTTGATCATGTTCAGGAAATTGACTTCTGCTCTGTGCCAGGACCACTGAATACCGAATTGCCATTTTATATATGGTCTGTTATTAAGAGGTAATTCGATGGAACCTTTTTTCAAAAAAAAAA